ACTCCTCTTCCAATGCAAGGTGAATGAAAGCGAGGAAGGAAAGATGGGGGTGTAAAACGGTAACCTGGGACCCAGAGGATCTTGGTGCATTTCCTTGCTTCCCCACAGATTTCCCCTCCAGGCCATCCTTGGCAATTCACCTCTTCTCGCTATGCCTCAGTTCCCCCATCTGCAAAGTGGGGGCAATACACTGGCTTCCTCACAAGAATGAATTACCTTAACTGATTCTGTGATAATGAGGATTATATAGGTACAAGTGACATCTCAATAGAAGAGGCATACAGCATTGGACTGTAGTCCGCAGGACTTTGTTTTATCTCTGGTTTCCTGTCTGACCTTAATTAAGCCACTTCACTTATGTTATACTTCAATTCTCCACCTGCAACATAGGGCTAATTCTTCCCTAAGAAAACTGGAGGTTTTCTGGCTTTCACAGTAGTGGGGCCCCCCTGAAAAAGAGATAAGGACATGCCAAGATTACATGCATCTGATATCGAAAAAGCATCACACTGCTTCCAAGGTGGTGAGATATTAACTGTTTTCTATTTCTTGGTTCTACTGGACTATCCCCGCAGAAGTTCCGGGAAAGGGCAGTTCTTGGTGCAAAAAGCTGATATCTCTTCTTTGCGATGGTATAAATGAGATTCAACTGAAGAAACTGGAGGCTAAAGGAAACTGTGTGGTGGTTTGGGATGTTAGTGATAGTTTTGATAGAGATAGATTGGTGTGCACAGGCAGTAAAAAAAGGCCTGTGTATATGTGTGTACACTTATCCACTTCTACATGAGCATCACACTGCTGTTATCCATCTATAACAGAGCAGTAGATCACAATGTATGCTGTGATCTTTTGGGGGAAAGACACATTCATGAGTTTCCATGCACTCAGAAAGGAATACACGGTTCATTAGGGACATTTCATAGATTTCATAGACGTTAGGGCCGGAAGGGACCTCAGAAGATCATGGAGTCCAGCCCCCTGCCCAAAGGGCAGGAAGTCAGCTGGGGTCATAGGATCCCAGCAAGATAAGCATCCAGTTTGCTCTTGAAGGTGCTCAATGTAGGCGCTTGAACCACCTCCGGTGGCAGGCTGTTCCAGACCTTGGGGGCTCGGACAGTAAAGAAATTCTTCCTTATGTCCAGCCTGAAACGGTCTTGTAGTAGTTTATGACCATTCGACCTAGTCGTCATCCCTTGGGGTGCTCTGGTGAACAAACGTTCCCCCAGATGCTGGTGGTCACCCCTGATAAACTTGTAGGTGGCCATCAGATCACCCCTGAGCCTGCGCTTTTCCAGGCTAAAGAGCCCCAGGGCTCTCAGCCTGTCATCGTAGGGTCTGCTTCCCTGACCTCTGATCATGCGCGTGGCTCTTCTCTGGACTCTCTCAAGCTTCTCCACATCCTTTTTGAATTGTGGAGCCCAAAACTGGACACAGTACTCCAGCTGCGGCCTGACCGAGGCCGAGTACAGGGGGAGAATGACGTCCCGGGATTTGCTTGAGAAGCATCTATGGATGCAAGCCAGCGTTTTGGTCGCTTTACTAGCCGCCGCATCGCACTGCAGGCTCATGTTCATCTCTTCGTGAAGTTTCTTCTGTCAGGCTTTTTACCTCAGTGTGGAAAACAACGCAACAATATGAAATTTGTCAAGTGTATGCCTTCATTCCCAAAGTTTGGTGTCATTGGCGAACTTGGCCAGTCCGCTTCTGACTCCAGTGTCCACATCATTAATGAAGATGTTGAACAGTATGGGTCCAAGGACAGAGCCTTGGGGGACCCCACTGGTCACAGGACACCACGATGAGTGACTTCCATCAATTACTACCCTCTGGGTCCGACCCCGGAGCCAATTTTCCAGCCAGTGGATCGTGGTGGACCCAAGGCGACAATTGGCCAGTTTCTCCAAGAAGTGATCATGGGATACCAGATCGAAGGCTTTTTTGAAGTCAAGATATATGACATGAATCTCTTCTCCCTTGTCCAGGTGATAGGTCACCTGGTCGTAGAAGGAAATGAGATTGGTCAAGCAAGACCTACCCGCAACAAACCCATGCTGGCTATCCCTTAAGATGTTGGCGTCGGTCAGTCCATTAAGGATGGCCTCTTTAATAAACTTTGAGATTTCTAACTTTGAGATTTTGATTTGTGCATCGACTAAAAATGTCGATGCACAAATATACACTGCAGCCAAGAGCAAGTAAACTGCTATGTCCTCTGCAAGGCAGGGAGCAGGCTGTGGACCAAAGAGAGTGAGATATTATCCCATAAGAACTGCAAAATTCATGCACAACCTTCTTGATATAGCGTTGTTGTCAAAGGGATCCAGAGGCCTCCCTGCAGACACCGCAGACACCAGACAAAAAGTGCTTTGAGCTCTCTCTAGCTTCCTTTGCTCTTCTGGCTTTCATTGCCTGCAGCAACTACAATTTGTAAGGGTTAGGGGAAGAGTTCAGACAAGGGAGAAACGAATGACCAGATGTATTGTTGGTCCCCTCGACTTCCTGTTCCTCTGCTGTCTCCAGTCCCCCCAGGGCTGTTGGCACTGGGTCAGAGGGAGCGAACACGCTACAACTTTCTTTGTTGAGCATTTTTCTCCCAGGGTCTTCAAGAAGCGTGCCCGTTAGGGGCTATGTCTTTCCCACATTTCGGTGGAAAAGGTCCCAAAGTCACTGTGGTTCTCTTGCAACCGAGAGCAAGATATCAAAGCAAGCCCCAACCCTCCTGGGACCGTACGACTCTTCGCACAGCCCTGCACAGTAGGGAAGCAGGACGACTAATGGTCTCTGTGCCTAGGAAAGTCTGGGTTTAATCCCTTGCTTTGCCTTCTACTCCCTCTGTCACCTTAAGCAAGTCACTTATTAGGCTCCATTATAACTTGCCAACATGAACAGTAAAACCAAGCCTGCCACTACCAGACAAGGTAACTTTACTGTATCATCACGGTCGAGGATCATCACTCCCATGGGTCTAGAAAAGGGTTGTAAATGAGTCCATTGATGGCTAAGAAGGTCAATCCTAGACCCGCAGACCCTCTGGGAAATGCCACAGGTCTTGTTTCCTTTCCTTCCATTTCTGCCATTATTTCCTGTGTAAATGTGGCCTGTCTCTGTGCCTCGGTTGTTCACCTGTAACATGGGGATAACAGCACTTATTTCCTTCCAGGGGTATAACCAGGATATACATTTTCGAGCAAGGCATATACATTTTCGAGCAAGGCTTCATGACTTCATCATTCGGGCAATGTCTGATCCCGAGGCATTATAGTAATACATGTGATGAAGAAGAAGTACCTTGGGGAGAGATATGTGGAGCTTCCCATCCTTGCACCAAGCTGTGGCTGGTAATATAGGAGTTTTCCCCCTCTACGGGGCTCCACGCATATATGACTGAGGATGGGAAGTGGGGCAGAATTTGAGGCTAAGAGCATTGTTTCATAGTTGCTAGGGGCTAGAAGAGACCTTACACATCATCGGGTCCAGCCCCCGCTGTACGTGGGCAGGAAAGACTCATGGGATCAAGTGATCCCAGCAAGATGGGCGTCAAGAGGTTTTTTGAAGATGGCCAGGGTGGATGACTGGACCACTTCTGGGGGAGCCTGTAGTGACAGCGCTCCTGCGATGCAGGGCCAGGATGGTATCTGAGTATGTAGCATGTTGTACCTATAAGCGGGAAAGCAGAAGATGATGACAGATGCTTGTCAGCCTTTACTCACTATTCAAAGGATCCTGCAAACACTACCAAGTCTTCATCAGGTACAAACAGACACTGCTTTATTAAATGCAAGCCAAACCCGCTGCACCACTTTTCCTTCATCCTCAACCTGCTGAGGATCCAGGACCTCTGTTTTTCACCTCGCTTTGCTCCGTGCACTGCTAAGTACTCCCGATTTCTCTAAATCCCGTGAGCCCAGGACGCAAAGTGCTGACACAAGCCGTTTAGCGTGTCCGTGCACACAAGCGAAGCTGTTATTTGGAGCTGGCATGAAGTCACCACAATTTCCATCCGAGAGCCATTAAATAAACAGTGCGAACCAAGAACACAAGCATTGTCTTTTGCAGCGGGTCACTGAAATAGGCTGCAATGCCTTTGCATAACAGGGCCTGGGGAAGCAGGAGGTTCAGGCTTGAGTCTGAATTTCCTGGCCCTCTCCCACCCCTTAAGGGAAAATGTTATGGTCTCATTGAGGCTAAAGCCATGTGGTTAAAACACGCTGGCCCACAGGACACAAGAACTGAGGTTTTATTGATTCTTCGTTCAGGCAAAAGCCTGGCTCTAACGTCTATGTTATGAATGTTGCTTGTATTTGGAGAGTGCCTACAGGCTCCCACTGAGCTCACTGTCCTCTGTGCTGGGCATGGTGCAAAACCAGAGGAGAAAGGTAGTACAATCAATCCCTTTATTGCAGATGGGCAACTGAGGGGCAGAGAGATTGAATGTCATGCCCAAGGTCATCCAGAAAGCCTGTGGCAGAGGAAGGAAATGCCCATCTGGATCCCAGCCTGTGCCTTAACTGCAAGCTCATCCTTCTTGCACCAGTGGGCTAGGCTTTTGCTTCCTTTATGCCACTACTCAAGCTGTCAGCGGAGTCCTTGCTGATTTACACCAGTTACAGAGAGAGCCATGAATACAACCCCAGCTTGCAGAGGCTCCAGACCAGACTGGAAATTGAAAGCCCTATTGTTAAATCATCCCTGCGGTTGTCTGCTGATGCAAGGCATTTTTGGAAGCGATTTATTTAGCGTAGAGATTTGCAACTTCGGAAAAAAGGATGTCTGTTGTGTGCCCAGGATGAGCATCTAAAAAGGGTGAGGTTAAATTTTGCTTGGGAAATAAGCAGCCTTGGCTTTCGACTTGTTGCTGACGACGAAGAGCGGAGGGCTGAGAGACATCCGACGGGGAAAACTTGTAAACAGTTCCTGCTATCTGAACATGAGTGCCCCTCCCCGTCCGTGTGAGCTGCAGAGGCAAAAGAGAATGACACATGTGCTGTTTCCTTTTCCAGTTGCAAAGGGGTCAGGAACTAGGCAAGGAGCGCCTGAACAAGAGCAGCTTTCTCCTGCCCTTCCAGCTGTTGTGTTCAATCCAGCCTCCGGTCCTGAACAGGGCAGAGAGACCGTCAGCATACATAAGGCACGGTTGAAGGCATAAGTTATGAGTTACCCAAACAGTACATCCTCACTGTGTGAGTACCCTTCTTTTTCTCCCATCCCTATGGCAAAAGTGAATGTATAGATCTGTTGTTTAATGCATTTTTAAGCAGGCTTCCAGTTTAGCAAAAAACGACCGGGCAGGAATGAAGTATTGATAAAACTGTCCCTTTCCTTCCCCCTTTGTATGCGAGCCCATGTGTGTGTGTGCATGTGCATGGAAAAAGTTACAGAGAGACCCGAAATGCCTGTCTGCAAAGTTCAACTCCCGAATATGACAGATCCACTTCTGTCTCGGTCCTAGGATAGAGAAAATTGAATGGAAATGCTTTTTGCTCTTTTTTTTTCCTTTATTTTTTTGTCCTCCCTTAAGGAACGAAAATATAAAGGCATTTAGGAGGCTTCATGTCCCTCTCCTGAGATATTAATGGTGCTGCCTCACTTGTGTTTGGAGACGCAAGCTGTCTGTGTGTAATATGAGACACATGCCAAAAACTGTCAGTCGATATTTAAAGTCACAATGCTTTTTTTTTCTGCTTTTGGAAGTTTGAAAACACAATAGTGGGACACGTGAATTATTTTCTCAGTGAAGATGTATGAGGGTATATTCTCTGGAGGTGGTACTCTGCGCATGCCAGAAAGTTTTGATAACGTTTGGCCTCGGGAGCTCAACAGCATAACTGCATCCCGGTCAATTATTTTGGGGAGTGCTATTAATACGTAGAGGGCTCAGGTCTGGTCCAAATCCTAACGACTACTGGGGAAATGCCCATGATTTCCAATCATAAGGCATTGCCAGTAGAATTTGACCCGTCGTCCAGATGCTACAGACTTTTTTCGTTTTACTTCAAAGGGATCTGATTTTTGTAGCGTCGCAGCAGTTATTTAAAAATAATAATAATAAACCGCCCAAACGGAGTTATCGCAGGTGATATCTGTAATAAAGGCACAATACACAGAGGAGTGCTGGGAATAGACTCAATTTTAATTCCTGGTCCTGCGGTTCCTGTTAGACTATCTGGCTCGCATGAAGGTTGAAATGGATGGTGTTTTTCAGGCTCTGAGTGAGGCCGGCTTTATCCAGCAGAAATATTATATCGCAAAGAATCACTGGAATTCGAGCCAACAATTTTTATTTACTCTGGGCCTTTTTGCAAGTATCAGCCAGCTCACAAGATGAAATGCTATCTATAGCTTTCTCTCTCTTTCGCTGTCTTTTTGTTTTTTTTGTTCCAGCAGTTTTAACAGATTAAAGCCCATTCACCAGTCATTGAAGAAAAGAAACATCCAGGCAAAATATAGGTGTCTTTGAATAAATGGTGGCGTCTGGGGCTTCTGTGCACTTCTTTTCAGACATGCAAATTACTGTAACTATTGCTCTCAAACGTCCGTGTGGGATTGGGGTTTTGAAGCCATTAGCTAAAATGCAATGTATTGATTGTGTAGTCTTGCTGACAGGGTAAGGCAGGCAAAGCCCAATCTTGCATCCGGGTTTTTAAGAGTTTTGTAAAGAATTTTTGCCACAGCAAGGAGTTCAGATTTGGATTCAGAGGCCTGGCTTGCACTACTTGCACTACTAGCACACTCAGAGATGGAGTTACATGAGCAGCTAAGTAGTGTAACCAAACTTAGAGCCAGCCCAAAGTTTAGGTGAGGCAACATGCTAATCAGGTCCATGGAGACATTACTCTAACCCTTGGTTTAGTAAAGAAAGGTTTCACGCAACAATTTATGACATTCAGAGGAGATGGAAGTATAATCGAGGATCACTGGGAGAAAGAAGAAAGTGTTTTTTTCAGTATGTCAGCTGCGCTTTGGTAATTGCCCACGTGCACACACACATCTCATGGTAAGGGGAGGCTGAACCACAGTAACTTGCTCCTTTTTCCCAGGCTGAATTAATGCATAGGCAAACTAGGCAATGCCTAGGGCCCTAAGTAAAGAAGGGGCCCAGTTGTGCTTATTTTACATATTATATTATTTTTACATATTAATATTTTTACATATTATAATTATTATAATTATTGAGTGAAAAAAAAATAGGGCCCCACAAGCTTGTTTGCCTAGGGTCCACTCAAGGGTTAATCCAGCCCTGCCTTTTTCACCCAAGGCTGACCTACCATGATTTAACTTCCAATTACCTCTGGATAACAGCATGCAAATGGATGGTGACCAAGAAGCAGCTCACACGTGGTCAACTGTTCACATGCCCGTACTCTCAGGGTTAACCATATCAGACGTTCAAACCCTTTTTTCTGCCAAAAAATTCTAGATGGTTGTAGACAAAACTAACACCCATTTATTTAGACCTACTGCTGATTGAAATAATGCCCCTGCCTGCTTTCTAGCTGCCTGGATGCAATTCCTCTTGCAGATCCAGACAGGATGTTCCTGTATCCTGTTTCAGTTTGCATCACTGTAAATTCAATCCATACAGCTTTAAAAAAAAACAAATTAAGAACGAAATTCAATTAAAAGGGAAGCCTGGTGGCTGCATATGTCTTTACAGTGTGTGTTCAGTGCATTGCTTCTATAAGGGTCTTTTTATTTTCCTGGCATGAATCCAGTAACTCCTGCACTGATCAAGGAGATGTTAAGAGTTCACTGTGTTGAGAGGCGCTGTTCAGTATAGATAGCAGATGTTTAGCGGAGAGGGACTATATTTGGCAAAACAGACATACTGCTTCATAAACATCATGAGAAGCCTTGAAACTGGTGTGCACATGCATAAAGCATCCGCCAAATGTTAGACAACGTTCAATATATTGCACTCATTTGTTTATGTTTGGTAGTGAAGCTATATGACAGGTGCCCGGTGAGGCAAACACAATGGTACAAAGTTGTCTAATTGCTTGTGATCAGGGAGTTTTACCCCCTTCTTGTTTGTATTCAGTATGTTCTTGATGGTCCTGAAAGGGCACAGTCAAAAAGAGTAAGGTTTCAGGGGGAAATGTTTTAATCTTTCTTAACTCTGTGCATCTTCCCTGTCTCTATTCTCTCTTCTTCTAATTATGTCACGAAAGAGAGCTGGGTGGTAATGTTACTAATTCAATGCTGTAAACTTCCCCACAATGGGGCGCGCCTACAGGTGCCTCTTTTAAATGAGCTTAGCTTAAAATTGCCATTTTAAGGTGCATTAAGGGCCCGTGACTACACCTGTGCACCCTTAGTGCACCTTAAAAATGGAGATTGAAGGCTATGTGAGCCTAAATTTGATGCCTGCATAAAGCAGGTATCAAATGTAGGCGCAAATAGCTAAGTCACATTAATGCACATGTAGAGGTGCTAATGCGCATTAACACGGTGTGTGTCAATGGATTCACAGCGCATTAATGCACATTAGCACGTCTGCATATGTGCTAATGTGTCTTAGCTATTCATGCATAAATTTAATGCAACTTAGTGCTCAGTAGCGCATCCACTTGTAGACACAGCCCTAAGTCAATTTAATGCACCTTAAGGAAAGAAGCATTAAGTTTAGGCACACGTAAATGCAAGTGTAAACACACCCACAGTGTTTTATCTACATCCGAGTCTCCTCTCCTGTGTACTTTTGTTATGCTCAGCCTATGAGGCATCCCACCCCACTTCCACCTTCCCCAAGGAATATCAGTCCCAATCCTGCAAAACGCTTTCAAGTGAGTGAGTCCCTTGGAAGACAAAGGGACTGCTAGTGGGGACAACCTACTGTGTTGCTTTTAGTTGGGACCTGATGAGGTGCCTCACTGGGAAGAAGCTGTGAGTGCATTGCTGGTTGCAGAACAGCGGGCCCATACATATAGTCTATCATACCACATGCACCATTTATTGTGGGCCAGTTGCTGCATGAGCCGGAAGGAGAGCAGCCTCCTTAGGGATTGAGGGTGGGGGGTGGACTGGTCTTGGTTCTGCCAACTGAACACACCTCTTTGCTTTGGGGAGATTGGGAGTCATTGATCCTCTTCCCAGAGCAGTTCACTGCCCTCTTCGCACCCAGCCAGGACTGGTCTTGGTCCTGCCAACTCAAGACCCCATCCAACCCAGCTAGTACACATTGCCTTCCATGCAAAACTAAGGAGAAATAATGGATCAGAGTCAAAAGTCCCTTTTCTTGCTCCTGGATCAGTGGAGCTATCAACTCTCCCGTGATCAGGGCTTGTAGCAAAGCCTCAATGGGTCCCTGAAATATCTTCCCTGTATTATCCACTGACTTGGAACTATATTTGCTCTCACTGGCCTTTCATAAGTGGAGGTACTATTTGTATCGACGACTGGTAACGAAAAATGGAAGTGATTGTTTATGGAAATGATTTCCTTCTGAGCTAACTGCAAATGGTATTTAACAGGTTAGGTATTTGAGTGAATTATAATAATCCCATTTTAAATCTGAAGGTTCAGAACACATCAGCACTCCTACATTTGTGTGTTGATCATCCACACTTGTGCAGGCAAAATGGGGGTTTCTGTTCTGTGTTATGCTTCATTCAACTCCACTGGTATCTGTGTGAATATTTACAAAAGCAAAACTTTGATCTATGGATATGATAAGTACTGTAATTGGGACAAAAATGTAGGCAAGTGACTTGGCAGGCAGAAAAATGCCCACAGGAATAGGAATCTGCTTTTTTAAGATCTATTATCCAAAGTGCCGGGGACCATTCTGCTGCAGGAAAATGAAATCATCGATGTTCAAGAGGTCATCCCAATACTCCAGGTTAAAACTAGTTCAGTCCTTACTCCCATTACCACGAGCTGGATGGAAAGCATTCTTCATAGTTCATTAATAAATTCAGGGGATTTGTGAATGGGATCCCATGGGAGGGAGATGTGAGGGGAAAAGGAGTCCAGGCAAGTTGGCTGTGCTTTAAAGAGGCCCTTTTAAGGGAGCAGGAACCAGCTATCCTGATGCAATGGAAGAATGTGAAATGCAACAGGAGACCAGCCTGGCTAGATAGCGATCACTTCAAGGAGTTGAAACTCAAAACAAAGTCCTGTAAGAATTGGAAATGTGGTTATATTGCTAAAGAAGAGTGTAAGAATAGCGCATGGGTGTTCA